GTGGCAGTGGGTTTTGTTTGTTTGTTTTTGGTAATTATCCCCTAGAAGAAAACAACTCCAGCAAGAAGAGTACCACAGACCTCGCTCCTTGCTTCAGGGGCTACTTCCCTATCCACAATGCCCTCTCCTCTTTTTTAAAAATGCATGACAAGCAATGCTAGTGGTCACTACCACCTAGAGCCATTGGTTGCTATAGTGAGCAGAAAAACAACCAAAGAAATAAAAGATGTGGGCAGTATCAAGTGTTGGTAAGAGTCACAATGGCACTAATAAATACTGTGCCCATAGAAACAGGACTAAACTCCCTATAAAGACATAAGAATGTTGTAATCTTTTTTCACCATCCACTCATCATTCATTCCCCAAAGCCTTAGCATGAATCCAAATACCTAGGGCCAGAGTTAGACGACCCATTCCCAGATCACTCCTGGCTCCTTCACAGGTCTGTGCCTCACCTTCAAACAGTGCTTTCTGCCTCCTCTAAGGAACCCTAGTAAGGAGCTCTGGTGGTGTAGTGGTTAAAGTATTTGACTGCAAACCAAAAGGTCGATGGCTCAAACCCACCAGCTGCTCAACAAAAGAAAGATGGGGCAGTATGCTTCCACAAAGATTTATAGCCTTGGAAACCCAATAGGGGTCACCATGAGTTGGAATCAACTCAATGGCAGTGAGTTGTTTGGGTTGTTTTGTTGTTGTTGCTGTTGTTGTTTAATTGAAGGATCCCTGGTGGTACAATGGTTAAGCACTTGGCTGCTAACCAAAAGGCTGGCTATTCAAACCCACACAGTGGCTCCTGTGGAAGAAAGATGTGGCAACTGCTCCCCTAAAGGTTACAGTCTAGAAAATCCTATGGGGCAGTTGTACTCCATCACATGGGGTCATCAGGAGTTGGAACTGACTTGATGGTACCCACAATAACAACAACATACCTTGGAACTGCTAAGACCATCTTCAAACCTGGACTCAAAAGCCACCTCCACCCTACATAGTCTTCTCTGATGAAACAGACTCTATCGCACATGCCTGGCACAAAGTAGTGAGTCGATAAATGCTGGTTAAATAAACATCTTTACAGAGCCTTTCTGGCCTGCTTCTATCAAAGTGCTCACCCTATACCATACTCTAGTTGTCTGATTTGTAAGCCTCCTGCCCCATTTGCAAATCTAGTGACTAGCTTAATGCCTAGCACATAGCCAAGCCGAGACTAACAAATGAAGTTGAATAGGAGAAGCTGATTTCAGACCGAGTGTAGAAATACTAGAAGACCACAAAACTCTAAAAGGTCAGAACAAGCAAAGGACTAGTCAAGGAAAGAGAAGTCCTGAAGGGAACTGAAGACCCACAAAAAGTCTAAAATGGTGGGAGGTGGGCAGACAAGAATTCCCCAGGTAGGACTGAGACATAGGCAGCTTTGACAAGACTGTAATTCATGTTAGCTTATGAATCATGTAATGTGAGCTTTTCTGTTCAG